CTCAAATTCCTTTACTACAAGATGAATAATTTGTAAAATCCAAACCATAATATCGCATTCTAATCCTCTGAGAGAAGATTAAATAGGGAGTGGAAGGAGCTCAGAGGCAAGAGGAAGCTTGCACTATTTGGACTACAACATTCTTGAAGTTCTGCCAAATCAAGGCAAAAATACATAGCTATATTAGAAGACAACTGAAATCCATGAATCATAATGTAGAAAGAATTTTTGAAGAACCAACGTTCAAATGTTCCCAGGGATTATGAGTCAGACAAAATTAAGCCGTGCAGCATTTTTATGTAATGTTTTATATGAGCCATTTACCTACAGGCTTATCCTAAAGCGATATGTTTGTGCTTTTATCATTTGCCTGAGGATGAAAAAATATCAATGAATTTAGGAGTTTTAAACCTCTTTAATATTTGTATGATATTAGATGTGCTATAATCACATATAAAACTACCTCCTAGAGAGCTTTTGAGAATTGCTTTTGCCTGAGGTCTCTGGTACTAATACTTCAAGAGATTAGAAACATCTTACTTAAAAAGAGTTTTCTTTTTGCCCTCAGAAATCAAACAAGCTTTGTTAAACACTGAGGCAGAAGAGATGTTATAAATACACGATATTCCCCTTAGTTGCCCAAGGTTTGTATCATAGATTAAAAACCAATCTCAGAACTGAAAAAGCTACATGGCTACATGTTTGTCACAACACTAATTTACTGAATTTAGGGAGGAAATCACATTAGCATAGCTTTAAATAGTTTTCTATGCAATGCTCAATGTTGGATGTACTGACTTGCTTTGGTTTCCTGAAGACAGCAGCTGACAATGAATATTATCCTGAGTAAAGAGAAACAGTGGTATAAAAGCACTAAATAATTTCTATATTTTAAGGATATTTTTAGGATAATTTCTATGTTTTTAGGATAATTTTAATATTAAAAATTTCCTGTAATGTCACCCCATTATCACAGATTTTTTTCCTTGCATTCCTTAAGTATAATGTTGTTTCTCTGCTATAAATAATATTTCCATAGTTAGAGCATTCTATTATTTTATGGCCTAACAAATCACAGGATTTAAATAACAGTCATCTAACATGAAACACTGCCCTTCCATTCTAACCTTTAGATGCTTTGTTTCCTTCTTCTTTTTTCCTATGGACATGGAAAATTAGGGCCATTTATATGCTGAATATTGATCAGCAGGAAAAATATAGGAGGTATGAATTATATTCTGACTACAGTGATTTTCCATTCACTCAGTATTACTTACCACATCAATCACTTAATCCTGCAGCATAAGTTCTTTATTCTTTATGATGAAAAGCTTTTTGTTTTTTATGAAAAGAGTAATGAGTAATCTGATTTTCTCCAGAGCTCAAAAAATACAAGAAAGAATATTTACTGAAAACTTACTGCCTAACAATATTAGGGATTCTTTAGTGGTCTCCTCTATAGTTTTAATGTTAGGTTTTCTCTGAGTTAGATGTAACATGAATGGAGACTTTTTTTTTTTTTTAGATGTGGAACAGTTATGACTTTTCAGAGTGTTTTCTGTCAAGGAATGCTCTCTCAGGTTCTATCTTCTTTTGATTGGTGGATGGGCCAAAAACACAAGGAGGCATGACAGAATTCTGTCCAAGAGGATTACCAGATTCTGCCCCGGAGCTTCTCAATGAACTGGAAACAGACATGGATCCTTTGGACTGCTACAATCCCTGCAGATGGATGTTGCCATGTAGTGGGCAGGGCCAGGGAATCTGAACACACTGTAAGGCCCTGAACAATCCCACGTGAAAATTTTAAAAAACAAAAAAGAACAAAACTGTCCCTCCAACAGCACTGCTACCACATTTGAAATATCCTGCTTGTCTTATGGCCACAGTCATCTCTTCCTTCCCTTCAAAGTAATTCAAAACATTCACTGAACAACCACTATGAACCGGGCCTGGGGAGACATGGGTGAATGAGAAAGAACTCCTTCCTTCAAAGGCCTCCCTATCTGGAGGAGAAAAGAGACGGGGACATCAAGGACTGTGCAGACATGTTTCACGAGTGCTGAGCCAGCAGCAGGAACAAGCGAAGGAGGGAACAAATGAAAGCTCCGACATGAAAGCCTCCAGTTGCCCTTGGAAATACAGCAGCTCCTGGGGCAGGCTTCACAGAAGAGGTGCCCGCCTTGGGAGAAGAGAAGAGCGGCCCAGACGGAGGAGGAGAGAGGAGCGGCAGTGGGGGTGGGAGCGCCTCTCAAGCACTGAGCACAGCTCGAACACGCGGGCACACCCCCTGGACACACCCAGCCCCCCTGCCGGAGAGCACAGGGGTGTTGCTGCGGGAGTCCCCCCCTCCATGGCGGGTGTTTTTCTTTTCTTCTCTAGCTCATTCTTCTCCAGCCCCTCATCCAAAACCAGTCACGTTGCCTCCAGGTGGTAGGACCAATAAAATTTAAAGGTCCTGACCAAAAAATGTCTAATATTTGGTAAAATACGACTTCCTCCATTACTATATATGAGTGTACAGATGTCCATATTTGTGCACGTGTAGAAAATCTGTCATTTCTTAACTTCCTAAGTAGTATGAAGACTAACTCCTTTGTTATACGCAAAGTCACTAAATGATTGCACAGACACAACCCAACACCATGTGTCTGATTCTCCTAAGGGTGAAACAGCTCCAGCTCACAAAAACATAATACGTAAGTGAATATGAGGAGGCATGGAACAGACTGTGGGCCACAGCCGCCCTTGGGCCAAGGCTCTGCGAGAGAAGGCCTAGGTGTGTGCCCCAGGTATTGACCCACGGACACAGCGGAAGTCAGAGGTGGTAGCTGTGATAGCCAGTGGGTGTGTACACACAGAGCGCTCCAGTCTCTTGCCCCAAACCCCACCATACAGACGTCTTCTTTTAACATCACAGGATCCAGGGAGAGATGAACATGCTTGACAACTGATATTGCATCACACGGTTGGAAGGGAGACTCTGTGAGCAAGTTCCCACCTCCTAGGCATCAGCCTTGGTCTTGGTGATTTTAATTTTTTTTTGTCTTCCAAAGTGATTTTCAATGTTTATATTAAATTATTTTTCATATCAAATATGTCTGTATTTACTGTTGCTTTGTGTGTTTTTGAGGAAAAATATAAAGGGGAGCTGAGAACAAACTTTGCTCTAAGCTCTTTTCCATACGAGAAAAATCCTGGAGTAACAGAATCTCTAAATGTCACAGGAATTAAAGAAAATTAAAATAAAGAACAATGATTTTCTGTATTTCACATATTCTCCAGTGGAATAAGATAAAAATAAATCCTGTATAACAACGTGCAGGTAATTTAAGTGCTCAAGAATCTGTGTCAACATAGCCAAGATACTGGAGGTAAACAGACCTGATCCGAGAAAACAAAAGTTGGAAAACCCTTAGAGGTCATCTCCACCTGTCAGATGCAGGAATCCTTTCCATAGTGACCAGGCAAGTTGGTAACCAATTCCTTCTTAAACACTTCCAACAACAGGGATCTTATCATCTTACAGGGTAGTCCATCCTATCATCGAATAGCTCTAGTTCTTAGATATTTCCATTTAGAAAAGAAATTGGACTTCCCCCTTCACCTATCAACCCAAGCTCTGTCCTCTAGAGTCTCAACGAACAAGTCAGCTCTTTCAAAAATTATGTCTCTTCCTATACTTTAAGTGCTTACCATGAGCCTCCATAGCTCTTCTCTTTTCCAGGCCTCATAACCACATTGCTCACAAGATGTGAGGTCAATCCGGGCCATACCGTTGGCACTGTCTTTGGAAGTGGCACAGAATGATGCTGTCCTCTGAAATTGCAGAGTCAAGACTTGGATGGGCAGTAGCAATGAGACCTCCTTTATTTAAGGATATATGTTCTGTACATGTAAAATTATTTTCTTCTATTTGATATTTGTGCAATAACTTTTTACAAAACAAAGTAAACAGCTTCAGCTGTGTTCCTATCAAATATCATCCTGTTGTTTCAGCCCATAATTCCAACTACAAAAGTTTATTTGAATTCTAAATATCGAGTCTGTCATTCACAGTACCCATTGTTCCTCCTAGCTCAGGATCCAGTCAGTCAAGCATCTTTACAAATGTGTGTGTGTGTGTGTATGTTTGTGTGTGTGTGTGTGTCTTACAGAAGCAGATGGAAAAGGTCTGAAATGAAGAACTAAACAAACAGGTAGACACCTGACATGCCACTAGAGATTTCCTTGTAACAACTGTGCAGTTGTATTTAAGAGAAGTCGTTCCAGAAACTATAAGTCCACTTAACACTCCTCTGTTGTCCTCGGAAAGATGGGAAAGACAGTAAGTGCATGCTACATGCCAGCAACCTCACTGACACTCCCACCTGCACAGCCCCTGCACTCTGCGCATTAAGAATCTGGGTTGTGGAGGGGTTTGGTAGCTTACCTGAAGCGACACGGCAGGTGGCAGGTAGGAGAGTGTCTGCAGTATACGCTTGAATAATCCCCAGGTTCCTGTTCTGATTCATTTTCCTTCACTTACTCACAAACACAGCAGGAGGAGATACAACAAATGGTGAAGCCCAGAGATGCCATTTTAGGCTTTCCTTTGTCACTCTATGAACATTTAAAATTTTAATTTCGGTATCAAAATTATTATCAGACAACTGATCCTGCTTTCTATTGGTCATCACTGCCCTCTCCAAACACTCACAGACCGCTTCTTTAATAGTCTGTTCTACAGTTTGCCAGGCACCGATAGCTTCTGTAAAAACAGGAGCGACACTCATTCATCTCCAGCCTGCCACCATCCTTCCCAACAGCTGGGAGTCATCAAGGATGACAGACAGAGGCGCCCCATCCCTATGCAATTCTCCCAGGACCCTGCTTTGTAAACAATCCACACCGACAGCTCGAGCTCACAGGGGTACCATATCCCTTGCTGATTACGTATGGAGGCTCCAAAGACAGGTTGGAATCACTGTCCCTGGCTTCGCCATTCACTAGCTGTGGGAACTCCTTAAATCTTAAATCTCCAACTTCCGTTTCTTTAAACATAAAGTGGAATTAATAACTGTAATTATATCATAGGTTTATTGAGAAAAATGAAGGGGATGATACTTGTAAAGCACTTAATCTATTCCTGGCAAACTGTAAGTGCACAGTTAAGTACCAGCTAACATTTCAAGCATCTAGATATCCCTTTACTATCTCCTTACATTTATTGAGTTTTCATTACCTCTGAAATGATTGCATTACTGTCTTCAATTTAATTATTTATTCTTGGTTTAGTGATAACTGAAACCAAAATAAACAGTTGAATAGTATTGTTTTTCTTAACTGTCCATTCATATTACACCATCAATCCTAAGCCGTGGGCCTAACTTTCCTTTCAGGTCTCAGAAAAATGTTAAGGATCATAAAATATACTTACTTCATTATTTCATTCATCCATCCATCCATCCATCCATTCACTTATTCATTAATGCTATAACAAAATCAGTCACAGCTTATTCCTTGCTTTAGTGCTATGAAAATATTTATAGCTTCCTATCTCTTATTCATACTTGCCCTTTGTTAGTTGCCATTTTCTTCAGCATCTGTACTTCCCCTTTCAAAATGTGGACTCAGTGGACAGCACCTAAATTGATTTTGCTAGATATCACCCATTTTTCTTTCCTAATATCATCACATTTGGCAAACAGTCAGAATTCCTTCTTCCAGAATCCTAAATCAAATTCCTTCATGGTATCAGTAGCCTGCCATTTTTCTAAACTCAGAGGTCAGTCTTCCTAAAAGCCATGGTGTGTATCTGATTACCATGGCATTGCCTTTCATGCTGACTGAGATTTCTGTAATGATGGGGTTACTGTTTCTGATGCTGCAACTCCGTCTAAAATGTGCAGTCTCATTGCAGTTTCCTCCATGTTTTCTGAGAAAGCACTGCCAACAAATTAAGTTAAAAATTTAACTTAGATATGTTTAGTGGGAAATGTTCAGACATTTGAGCACTGACTGATCTCCTACAACATGCCAGTCTTGTGACCCATGTGGCCCTATTCCTCTACCTAGGAGCTCTGAAGTCTTTTCTTTAATTGAGGTTAAAAATCCTGGTCGTGCCCAGGCAGTATTAACCCAGAGATGTGCTTTCTTTGGCTAACATGTTACATTAAATAAAAGAAGCCACTTATCCAAAATTCAAAGGTTTCACATAAAAATCCAAATTGTTAATGTCCCTTAAAAAAGTGGAAGATCTAGCAACTTTGAGACTGTGTCTCCATAGGGCAAAAAACAGACAAGCAGCACCTACCCCTGCAGACAGGTTTTATTTCTCCATGAAAATGATGACAACTTCTACAGATGCAATGTCAACAAAGCAAGTCCACATTTAAAGCCCACAACCCAGCCCGCCCCTTCTCATTCCTGAGCCCTGCAGGCATTCAAATTTCTGCTCCTGTCCTCTAACATCGCCTCCATCTTTCTATCCTGTAGGACTCCTACATATTATCTCTACCATTCCTATTCTCTTGGATTTGTAAATTATCATATCAGTGTAAACTCATGCCACCGCTAGCCCATATGGCCCTGTGTGAAGAATTGGAAAAAGGCACCCTTATTCCAGTTTATATCCATCTGTCAGAGAATTGTTGTGAAATCCTGATTTTGTTAGATCAAGATGCATGTCTACTTCATGCCAGAAATTTGTCCATAATAAATAACCAATAACAAATCTGTGAAGTGCACTGTGTGAAGTATCCCTTCAGGTGGGATACTGGTGGGCAGAGGCCAGTCTGTACAACCATCCATCACGGCCCCACCCAAACACCTGTTTGTCTGTCACTGACCGCAGTTTCTGCCCAGAACCACCAACAGCTCCACTGTGACACACAAGGTTTCAAGAAGGCCATTGTGCCAATGGGAGGTTTGTTCCTTCTGACTATTATTCCTGTGAGATTTTTTGCCTACTAAAATTCAATATCTAAATTTATATTCTACCTGTATAGGGTACTACATGCTGCTATTTAAAAAATTAGTATCTTAATCTTCACTAACCACCCAATCAACTATCCTGAGATAACATTAAGAGAGTTCACTTCTCTAGTTTAAAGAAATACTGAGCCCTGTTACTATACTTTTTCCTCCTTCCAATTTTAAGTAGAGAAGGGATCCATGTGCTCTTGAGGTGAAAAAGAACAAGTTAGCCTGTTCCCTCAATTGTTGCTTTCTCTGCCAACCTCTTCTTATAAGAAAATAAAGCAAATAAAATACCACATGAAGAAAATGTATCTAATAAGCTGTAGCAAATATTTGGTGATGGGGATAGAAATTGCTATAATTCTTCTGGTGGAAGGATAACACTTCACATTTCTCTCTATTTTACATATAATACACCACAGAGCACTAAACATGTATGCATTTGTCATAATCATTATTTAGAGACTAAATCATGAAGTAAGTACTCACAACAGAATCTTCTGACTCTAATTCTAGAGCTCTTTCCACCCTCCGGAGCTTCCCATAAACAGCGAAAGCAGAGAAGTGCAGGGGCACAGAAGTTAGTGCCTGGACAATGGTAAACATTCATTTTTTTATTGTTGCAGACATTCATTTTTTTATTATAAGAAAGTCAAAAAAGAAAGAGCACAAGTTTCTTAGAGTCAAAAAGATGAAGGATGTCATGGAGCAATAGTGCACAGCACTGCTACGAGCCCACAAAAGGTTGGACAGAATGTCCCAGTTCTCTTGAGAAGACATATCTCTAGTAGGTCAATTGTCCTCTCACTCTCCCCTGGGGTTCCACAGACACCCATTTTCCAGGGACAGTGCCCCATAAGCACCACTCAACAATTCTCACATACCCTCCCCCTTCCAAACACATACAAAGCCTAGTATAGTACAAGCAGCACACAGACTGGGCGATCTTCAAATGTTAGCAAAATGAATGAACAGAATCAACACATTAATTCACAATAGAAGACACATTGAGTACAATATTTTAAGCCTCACAAGAACATCTGTATGATTAAAAATGGCTTTTTCTTGAATTACATATCATAAATCAGCAGTTTATAAATGTTTTAATTTCACAGGAAATCAAAATTTTAAAAAAAGAAAAAAAACAACTCGCATATGGAGGTATACCTCATTTAACTGTGCTTCTCTTTACTGTGCTTTGCAGTTATTACATTTTTTACACATTTGAAGGTTTGCAGCAACTCTGCAGCAAGCAAGTCTATAGGAATTATTTTTCAACAGCATGTGCTCACTTTGTGTTTCAGTGTCTTATTTTGGTAATTCCCGAAATATTTCAAATTTTTTCATTAATATTATACTGTTCTGTGATCGGTGATCAGTGATCTCTAATGTTACAATTATAATTTGTTTTGGAGCACCACAAACCGTACACCCGTAGAAGGAGGTGAAGTTAATCAATAAATGTTGTATATGTCCTGACTGCTCTATTGACAGGCCATTCCTCTGTCTCACCCATTCTCCTCAGGCCTCCCTATTCTATGAGACACAATAATACTGAAATTAAGCCAGTTAATAATGCTATAATGGCTTCTATGTGTTCAAGTAAAAGGAAGAGTCACACATTTCTCACTTTAAGTCAAAAGCTAGAAATGATTAAGCTTAGTGAGAAAGGCATGTCAAAAGCCAATAAAGGCCAAACACTAGGCCTCTTGTCCCAAAGAATTAGGCAAGTTGTGAATGAAAAGGAAAAATTCTTGAAGGAATTTAAAAGTGCTACACAAATGATACAAACATCAAACACTCTTATTGCTGAGATAGAGAACATTTTAAAACTCTGGATAGAAGATCATTCCCTAAAGCCAAAGCCTATTTCAGAGAAAGGCCTTAACTCTATTCAATTCTGTGAAGGCTGAAAGAGGTGAGGAAACTGCAGAAAAAACGTTTGCAGAAAAAATGAGCAGAGGTTAGTTCATGATGTTTAAGGAAAGACGTTGTACCCATAACATAAACGTTTAAGACAAAGCAGCAAGTGCTGATGTAGAAGCTGCTGCAAGTTATCCAGAAGATCTAGCTAAGATCATTGATGAAATTGGCTTCACCAAACAACAGATTTTCAATGTAGAGGAAACAGCCTTCTATTTGAAGAAGATACCATCTATGACTTTTATATTCAGAGCTAAAGAAAAGTCAATGTCTAACTTTAAAGCTTGAAAGGACAGGCTGACTCTCTTGTAAGGAACTAATGAAACTGGTGACTTATAAGTTCCAGCCCATGCTCATTTACAATTCTGAAAATCCTAGGCTCTTAAGAATTATGCTAAATCTACTCTATGCTCTACAAAAGGAACAAAAAGCCTGGATGATAGCACACCTATTTATGGCATGGCTTGCTGAATATTTTAAGTCCACTCTTGAGACCTGCTGCTCAGAAAAAAATGACGTCTGTCAAAATATCACTGCTCATTGGTAATGAACCTGCTTGCACAAGAGCTCTGATCGAGATATACAAGGACATTAATGTTGTTTTCATGCGTGGTAACACAACACCCATTCTGTAGCCCACGGATTGAAGAATAATTTTGACTTTCAAATCTTTTTTACTTAAGAAATACATTTCATTTGGCTACAGCTGCCATAGATAGTGATGGCTCTGATGGATCTGGGCACAGTTAACTGAAAACTTTCTGGAAAGCATTCACCATTCTAGATGCCATTAAGAACATCCCTGCTTCATGGGAGGAGGTCAAAATATCAATATTAACAGGAGTTTGGAAGAAGTTGATTCCATCCCTTATGGATGACTTTGAGGTGTCAAGATTTCAGTGGAGAAAGTAACTACACTGGGTGTAAATAGCTAGAGAACTAGAATTAAAGCAGAGCCTGAAGATGCAACTGAATTGTTACAGTCTCATGATATAACTTGAATTGATGAGGAGTTGCTTCTCATGCATGAGCAAAGAAAGTGGTTTCTTGAGATGGAATCTACCCCTGTTGAAGACTCTGTGTACATTGTTCAAATGACAGCCAAGGATTCAGAATATTATGTAAATTTAGTTGATCAGGCAGTGGCAGGGTTTGAGAGGGTTCAATCCAATTTTGAAAGAAATTCTACTGTGGGCAAAATGCTATCAAACAGTATCGTACACTACAGAGAAATCTGTTGTAAAAGGAAGAATCCATCCATGTGGCAAACTTCCATGTCATCTTATTTTAAGAAACTGCCACAGCCACCCCAAGCTTCAGCAACCACCACCCTCAACAGACAGCACCATCAACATCAAGGCAAGACTCTCCCCACCAGCAATAAGATTAGGACTTGCTGACGACTCAGCACATTTTTAGCAATAAAGCACTTTTAAATTAAGGTATGTACATTGTTTTTCTTTAGCCACAACGCTATTGCACACTTATTAGAATACAGGATAGTATAAATATAACTGTTATATGTACTGGGAAACAAAAGAATTCATTAGACTCACTTTCTGGCTATATTCACTGTTTTGCAGTCATCTGGAACTGAACCCACAATGTCTCTGAGGTGTGCCTGTAATATTACCAGCTTTTATTTTTTCCAAATATATATTTTTAAAAATCACCAACATTTTATTAGAAAACAATGTTTATACCAACAAAGGAGAAAATGCACAATCTCAGAGTGAAATAAAATCCTTTAAAATAGATAACTTTTTAAATTGAATAAATTTATTCTATAACAATTACATATCCTGCTCTTATTTTATTTTACCTCTCACTGGGGATTTAAATAATGCCTCCTGCTTCTCACAATCCTGCTTCTTTTAAAGTAAGCCCTGTCATTCCTTCAGATGGAGAAAGCTACACAACTGGTAAATCCATGCAAAGTGAAGGCAGAGTGGCCAACCATTCCAGTACTAAGGGGCACACTGGGACATGAGTCTTTGAGTGCTAGAACCAGAAACATCCTGAGTAAACTGTGATGAGCTGGTCCCATTAAAGGGCAACTAGAATTGCTGTGATTCAACCCCATGCCTTGGCTATCTCTGAGCAGTGTGGCCCACCTCACTCAGGAACCCCAGATGCTAACAGGAGCTACTATAGGCTCCGGAAGGGGAATGACAACAGTGAAATGAATAGTCCCCATTGTGAATAGTCTCCATTTGTGAAATACTAATACCTGGGCAGCAACCAGGAGTATCAGAGGCCTCCAAAATCAGTTCTGAAAAAACCCGTTTGTGGTTTTTCCTTATATCTAATTAGATGTTATAAAAAAAAACTCAGCAGAAAATGTATATCAAACTTTTTCAAAGTACAAAATGTTCATATTACTCTAATTTCAATTTTTCTTTTTTGCTAGAAATACGTCTCCACACACCCTCTGTATATGTTCTGGCTACAGCAATGCCTCCTCTTTCTGCATGTCTCGGGGGGATGTCTGGGTAATGGACAGCACAGCATCCAAATGGTCTCTACTATTTTAAAAGTTGAAGCCACCCATCTGCTGATGTGACAGTGCCAACTGCCCAGGATTGGACTGATAAAGATTCACACCATAATGCCGATTCTCTGCACGGAGAGGGAATAAAAAGTATGTGTCAAAAATCTGAAAATGATTGATGCCTGCCATCCCATCAAGACTGTCTCTCACACGTAATTTCAATTGACGATTTTGGTTTGCACGTGAGTGGGCAGCAGGTGTTTCAGATTGTCTTAACTAGCACAGCACTTGTTTTCAGCAAAGCAAAGACAGAAGAGTCTCTGCCTCAGAATATTTTCCATAGCGTTCATTAGACTTCACTATGCCTAAGAGAAACTCGGGGTGCTCAGCCCATTCCCAGTAACACTGAAACCCTAACTGTAGGGTGCGGCTCAAGAAATCATCCATTCACAAAGGTACTGGTGGGTCCGACAGACCCTATAGATTGAGAACCAGTGCCCTGGCCGTTGTTAAGGCATGAAATCGTTTCCCTAACAGTGGAAAAAGAACTTATCTACTCCCAGAAATGGATATCCCTGGATATTCTGGCTGTCAGGCTGAGATTATTGAAGACTAGGTTAAGCAACTCTTGATTTCAATGATTATTTCTAAAGCACACAATAGTATTTTTTAAACACTGTTCTCATAAATCTTGTTACTACGAATATTTACTTGGTAAATTCTTATCTCTAAATATAAACCCCAAATACTGACTTGAAGATAACCGCTTTCAAATACAAATGCAACCTTAACAAATAATGTAGTATGAAGCAAGAGGCTTTGAAATACATTCAGCCAAATATTTCAATTACAAACACCACCCAAAATACTAGTTAGGAAAAGTTACCTCATCTCCACCTTTCTCACACGCCCAAGGTATGTGAAATGGTTTTAATGTTTGCGAACTTATAAAAATGTGTTATCAGTGCCATACATTAGCACATAATGAATAATTCAAGTTATTTCCAGACTTAATCGGCTTTAAGTACACTGTGAGGGATTTGGGAACAGAGAGAGGGCCGGTGGCTCGCCGCTCCCGCCCGACACTGCGCATGCGCGGCGGTTGCCGTGGGGCCTCCCGGTCTCCCTGGCAGCTGCAGTGTCAGCGGGTCTCGATCCATCATCATTACTCCTTGGCCCGCACTGGCTGTTGGGACGCATGGGTCTGAGAACAAGAAACTAATAACTTGGCAGTCACATAAGAAAGAGACATAGGAACTGAAAAGAAATCAGGGAAAATGAAACAAATCAATAGAAAAGTAGATGGGGGAGATTTAAATTAAAGGGCACGGGATTAGAGAACAGTTTGTGAGAATGTAAGAGTATTGCTTCGACAACAAAGTGGCAGACCACCTCTGATAGCAAAATACTGCCACACAAAATACATTACTAATGTATTGCATAATACATAATATCTCACTGTAACATATTATGGAAGCGTCTTCAAACATTTTTAAAAGTTTGGAGAAGATAAACCTAAAAATTAATTTTAAAAACAAGTTTAGAATGTGCAAAGAGGATGGAGTTGTATGCACTGCAACAACAATAATAATTTGTTCCAAACTTCAAGGTTCTTACAGTCTCTAGGAGAGACAAAGGTGCATTCATAACCCACAACAGGAGATAAGGCTAACAGAAAAATCTCAAAAGAAGTAGTCTCTGATTTTTTGTGATTGTATAATACTTCATGTGCATCAAGAAAGTCAGAACAATTCCCTAATTTTATATTTTTATGCAAATTACTCATGCTTCCTCTATTTCAAGTAATTTGGATGTAACACTCTAATTGAATTCTGCCTTGATAAGTATTTATTCAACCTTATTCTAAAATTTAAATCACTGTTCTGAGAATTGGCTGAAAAAAGTTAACTTTTTAAAAGGCTTGTGAATATAGTCAAACCAAAATGAAATTATTCCTGAATATAAATGCCTAAAATTTTCCCAGTAGAAAATTGGCAGTTATCTGATAGAGTACTGCCTCTGAAAATGGTTATACAATTAACTGTGTAGTCCTGTGTGGTATGAAACCATTTTTTAAAAAAAATCTCTCCCTGTCATTTCTGCCATTCAAAGTCAAATGTTCTTCTATATCTAGGAAGTAGCTGAATTAACATTGAAGAAGGATTTTTTTAATAAAGTATTTTTTGAAGCCTCACTAATTGGGATAGTGATTCTTCTATAGCTTTTACATAAGCATGCATACTTAAGTTTGAATTATTGCTTAATCCTTTTGTGAATAACTAATTTGGCCCTGTTCTTTAGCCTTGTGTCAACCCATCTGGTAGAAAGCAGAAAAGGTGGGCAAGAATATTTCAAATCTTCCAAGTGATACTGAATACATAGTTCCTATCAAATATGGAAGCTCATTTAAATGTGGTTAAAGTTTTCCTTAAATTTTCACTCTAACATAATTGCAATATAATTTTTCCATGGATAAGTGAGAAATGTATATAATACTTTCAAAAAACAAAACAAAACAAAACAAAATCCTGGTGTTGAACAAGACCCTGAACAAGCTATTGATCTGCAAATTAGCACCAGACATAATGTGTAGTATACATATATTAGCTCGTATCATCTTCTCAATAACTTAATGAAGTGCTATTAATATAATGATGCATATTTTATAGTAGAAATGGACCAATGCCTAAAGGAGTCAGGTTACTTGATTAAAGCTTACATAGCTCGTAAGCGATGAACCTGGGACTCTGAACCATTGATTAATTAATTAACTCAACAAATTGTTAAGTGTCTACTTTGCACCAAGCAGTGTGCTACAGAGGGAAGAAACAAACTCCCTGACTCTAAGATTCAAACCACTGCTTGTCTGTGCTCCTTTGCGATATCATTTGCTGCATGACACAGGCATAGGAAGCTAGATTGATTGCACTTCTAGTCAAATCCTATAATGGTATGACTTTTTAAATGTTAGTGATGGTTACATTTGGCTTCTAATCCCCAAAAGAATCTACTTATCTATTGATTACAGAAATCTTTCCTTTAGTTTTATTTTCCTAGGAAACACAAAATGTGATGGTATGAAAAACAGTTCAGTTTTTCATTTTATAAAATTTTACCCATAGGCCTATGTTGTGTGGTACTTTCAAAACAAGTACCCATGAAAGCTAAGGTTTGTGATATAAACAGCCATTGGGAAGAGCTTGGTGTTGAGAAATATAAGTCGAGTTGGTTTTATAAAAGCAATGGGAAAACCTTCTATATGACATCTGTAACATCTAAACAAATATTTCTCATCAAGAGAAATGTCTGCTCTTGTTTATTGTCACATTTTCTTCTTCCTAATAAATATATGTATGGCTGACATCTTCCTGAAAACAATACTCACTTTATGAACAATTTAAATAACATAGGATAAGACCATTAACAGAAGAGATAAGAGATTGTCAATATTTTTAAAACTATGGTCAAATGGGTATCATTTTATGTTAAGGCTGGGTTCCAGTTGTGCCTCACATTCTTCAGCCCTTTTTGGCTTATGCACTGTGGCTTTGCGGAAGGCCATGGTTGAGTGCGTAGAACACAGCCGTAGCCGTCCTGGCTGGTTTCTTGTCTGCGGCCACAGCAACAGCCATCTCTTTCACCTCTCATAGGAACAGCAGAGGTGCACTGCTGTCCACACTTCCCAAACACGGTAATAAGTAAAGAGTGGGAAGCACATTGTAGACAAGGCAGTGACACTGGTGGTCCACATGAAGTATACTGAAATCTGAGACCAGATAAGTTTTTTTTAAGACTCCTTACAAATGACCAAATAGCATATATTTTCTGAATATGAACTTAGCAAGTATAAGGCATGAACTGTGTGTTCACACTCATTTTCATGGAAGAGGGGTGTGTGTGTGTGTGTGTGTGTGTGTGTGTGAGTGCACATGACGATAGGGTGTGTAGAAGTAGAATGACAATATTGTAAGACATGCGAATTTTAGAGCTGACATTTTAGGAAACCTAAATGATTTCTGGAGAAGTTGCAAACATTAATATAAAGCTTCTGCTACTAAAATAAACATATCCAAAAACGTCACTTATGAAATATGTCTCATGGAGAGCTGTGTAGCAATTTCACCCGCAAACTATTAAAAAAAGAAAAACTACATTATAAAACTATTAGAAACCTGGTCTTATGGTCACTCGCTCTCTGGCACCTTTACAACAGTTATGACTCAGAGCTGTGCTGAAGTGAATTTCTGTGCCAGTTCAGCCATCTGCTGCCGTCTCACAAATGGAATAACACTCTAAAAGGAAAGTTTGTTTTGCGGCGCCATTCCCATATGCATGCAATCCGCAAACTGCCGCGTATAACTGTGGTTCAGCATAATACCAAGCAAGACTTGGGTTCTTTCAGAAGAGCATATTGCATAGCATTTTCTGGAAGTGCTCCCAATATTAGATACATGTCACATTTGCATAGAAACATATGGTCTTCAATGTGCAATCTCACATTGTCTACAGAGACTCTGCAATCAGAGGTCCCCTGTTTTACCTTCTTTTTATGAGTCAATTTTCACTTAGCAAACTATCACACTGTGGTGATTTGGAGGCATTATTTTAATTCCTAACATAAATTTATTTCCAACAGATGTGGTTCTATGAATAATATAAGAGCTTATGACATCTTATTAGCTATTAGCTGAAATTACGCCAAGGGGTGGTAGGTGCTAGAGACTGGAGCAAATGAGCCCAACCAAGCTCACCCATCCCTGTCCTCGCTCTGTGCCACTTCTTCATTCTGAGAGTCAAGAGGAAAGTAGCCTATTTTTTATGCCCCGGCCCCGTGTGCATGCAGATACTCAGCCACATCCCACCCTGCCCCTGAAGCAGCCCCACTCCTAGGAAATCTGGTTCTGAAAATGTGAAGGTGAAGGGAAGCACCTGAGGCCATGTCCCAGAGCATTTTGTTTTTTCTATCCATCTATGTCTATGCTCCTCTCCTTTTGGGGGTTTGGTTTTAGTTTTGGTTTTAGTTTGAGCAGTTGCTTAAACAAGACAGGGAGAGGAGACAAGGATTTCACTGTGTTTAAACAAGATGCTTTGCTAGTAATCAGTCCTTGTAAGTATCTCAAGTAGATTATTCTGCTAATATTTCAACCAGAAATGCACAATGCATACAGAAAGGTAAATAATTTTCCTAGGACAAAACTGCAGTTCTCCATAAAGAACCAAGGGAGCTGTTCAGAAACCCCATTCACTGCGGCTCTTACACCCCTGAGTCCATACCCCTGGGCTGCTCCAGGGTTTTCCATTCGAGACTTGGAGGGTTGAAGGCCAAGCCATAATGACTCAGAATACAACAAAATGCCTCCTTCCATATCAGTTCCTTTTCCCTGTCCACTACTGAGAAAATATAGATAAATCATTGCCTTTCTTTCTAGCAGTGGAACTGCTCATTTCAAGAATCACAGCAGATGTTGGCTACACACAGAAAGCTGCCTAGGTGGAGGCTTGAACTTTGATGGTTCCCTCAAAGCAAATAAATTAAGAAAAACACAATGTACTTGTGAAGGGGAGGAAACAAACTGATGACAGCAACAAATAAGCATCCTTTCCAAGTAAAGAGATAATGAGTCAACTTGCTGATTGCTTATTGTGGTTACTGAATGCATTCTGCAATGGTTAACAAAAAAGCTGATTGCTCATAATTCAAGTTATATCTTTCCATTTACTGAGGTTTTCTTTTACCTCTAGCAGTAGATTGATCAAGTTATTCACAGAGGCCTTATAGATCTTTTGTTGGATTATTCCACGTTTCAATATATTTTTGATGCATGTAGTTTTAAATGGTAACTTAGAAAAATCACATTTTCTAACTGTCTTTTGTTAGCATATAGAAATGTCACTGATTACTGTATGTGGAATTTTTATCCAGAAAATTTACAAATTATCTTATGAATTTACATGACTTATCTTTATATTCTTTTGGGCTTTGTCATCACATTATCTGTGAATAATGACAGCTTTGTTTCTTCCCTTTCAACTATGATACTGCTATGATTTGAATGTGATCCCCAAATTTCAAGTGCTGGAAACCTAATCCTCAAATTCTTCTGTTCATAATTTTTGGAGATAGGTCCTTTGGGAGGTAATTAGGATTGCATGAGGTCATCAGTGTGGGTGCCCCATGAGATCTGAGCTGGCATGCTCTTGTTCTCTTGCCATGTAATGCCCTCTGCCTTGCTCTAACACAGAAGAAAGGCCCTCACCAGAGGCTGCTGCCATGCTCTTCGACTTTCCAGCCTCGAGAACCATGAGCCTAATGAACTTCTTTACTTTGTAAATTACACAGTCTGTGGTATTCTGTTGTAGCAATAGAAATTAAATTAAAACAATACCTTTTGTTCTTTTTCTAGCCACATTACCTTTATTATACTGATTATATTGTATATAATTATCTTTTTTCCCAATCTTAAAAAGAACCTTTGATTATTT